GACCGGGCAGGACTCGCAGGAGCACCACCGCGTCGGAGGCGTGTCCGTGGCGGGGTGCGGCGCAATGATTTAAGAAGTGATTCTTGGTTATTGTAATGATTCTGCGGCAGATTGTGATGATTTAACGAATGATTGTAGCTGATTGCTGCGATTCAATGTTGATTGTTGGCGATTCTTTAGATTCAACTTTGAATGTAGGTGATTGTGGCGATTTAATTTTTTTTTAAAGATTGCAGTTGATTGTGAAGATTGTAAAAGATTGTTGTGATTCTTAGGGATTTAAGTTGTGATTGTCCGTGATTGTTAGTGATTTAAATTTGATTTTTTTTTCAAAGTGTACAGCGATTGTTCGAAGTGAGGTACCCCTCGACGTAATCCATAGTAAACTAGATATTCTGCGTCGCCTGAGAGTGAGAACCATTGTCATTAACTCCCAGACGAATTTAGACATCAGACAAGTCACCCAGAGAGAAATAGGTCGTGGAAAAGACGTGGATTCCACGTGGTTCCGTGGAATTTTCGTGGTGGTGGATACATCCACGAGATATCCACCACTATTTACCTTTCTAAAAAGATGCAAATAAAATCAGAAGAAACCAATTTTGCATCAACATTTCTTACTAAGTAGGATTTTTATTGTTCTGAACGCCATATTTCAGTATATTGTCAATTCGACGTGGAATCCACGTCGAATCGACGTGTATCAGTTCGTCTGTCGTGTACACGTCGATTCCACGTTTATTTCACGTCCGTTGCCTCGAAACCCTTGATTTAGTAGCTCGTACCAGTTCGTCTCAAATACCTATGCTGCTCACTTTAAAACAGCGCCAACGAAACTGTTAGACATTTATTCTGTGACAGAGCACACGCTTTTCATTTGTCATCTTCATCGAAGAATACTTAGAAAGTGTTCTTGACAGAACACCTTTCAAAATATTCCGCCACGACACCACAGAGAGTCTCGTTTCGAACGGAAAAAAAAAGGCACCGTACGTTGTTAACATTCGAAATGTCGTATCGTGTCTGTGGTCTTTTACTACAAATTACTACAAAAAATTAAACAAGCGTAAGTGAATATCATTTTTTTACGTTTCCTCTTGATCGCCAAGAGACCTCCCGAGGCAAAGTAATGGTCTGAATGTTGTCTGGAACCTTGTCGATGGTGACGGTTAATTCGTAGATAAAAGGCAGTTAAACGGCAGCTCATCGGCAGACAATCGGCAGTCTATCGGTAGCCAAACCGAAGTCAAACGGCAGACAATTCTCTCTGTCAAACGGCTGACAAACGGCAGACAAACCACAGCCAAACCGCAGTCTATCCTCAGCCCATCCTCAGCCCAGTTCGACTGAGGATTGACTGCCGTTTGTCTGAGGATCGACTTACGCTCTCAGACAATCTTCAGTCCTCTGTACGAGATGAAAATGAAAACAATCGACCCGGCCGGGCAGCCGCCGGCCCGGCCCGGTACCGAACCCCGGCCCCCGGAATGGGAGTCGGAGTGCTTGCTCCCTTGGCCAGAGAGAGCTCGCTGGGAGAGGAGTTCGGCGGAGGCTCGAGCTGGAGCAGGATGGCGGCGGCCGAACCAAGATGGCGTTGCAGCTATTTTAATTAATTTAAAGCCGTATCTGTATTATGTTGTTTCGACCAGCTTGAAATAATAAGTCTATCGGAAGCATCATAGCGTGCCAAATCTAATTCTGTACTTCTTTCCAACCGATGCGTCTCTAATTAAACGATTACAACGGATTAAGATGACCGTACGCACGAGAGCGATCCGTGCAGTTTTGCGAAGACAACCCCATCTGGCTCTGCCGTGACCTGCCTCCACCGGGCTCCTCTCCCAGCGAGCTCTCTCTGGCCAAGGGAGCAAGCACTCCGACTCCCATTCCGGGGGCCGGGGTTCGGTACCGGGCCGGGCCGGCGGCTATCCGGCCGAGTCGATTGTTTTCATTTTCATCTCGTACAGAGGACTGAAGGTTGTCTGAGAGCGTAAGTCGATCCTCAGACAAACGGCAGTCAATCCTCAGTCGAACTGGGCTGAGGATGGGCTGAGGATAGACTGCGGTTTGGCTGTGGTTGGTCTGCCGTTTGTCAGCCGTTTGACAGAGAGAATTGTCTGCCGTTTGACTTCGGTTTGGCTACCGATAGACTGCCGACTGTCTGCCGATGAGCTGCCGTTTAACTGCCTTTCACTGTTAAAAAAACCTACAGTAATTCGTACAGGACGGCCAATAAATTTTTATATTGGCCTGACTGTATTTAATTTTACAGTCGGACTGGTTTTAGTTTTACATTCCGACCTGTTACCGCCTGTAACAGTCTGCACTGTATTGTAGAATACGGTCAGACTGTATTCAAATGTACAGGCTGACCTGTTACAATCTGGACTGTAAAACTTAAGTTTAGTCGGACTGTAGTCTTAGACCTGGTGGGTGGAAATTTCAAATGGTTTTTTGTAGATTTTGTCCTCTATAACGGCCTTTTACGGTTTTTATTTTACAGTCTGGACCGTAAATGAAAATACAGGCCGGACTGTATTCTGAACTACAGTCCAGACTGTAACAGCTCAGACTGTAAAAATAAAAACAGTCCGGCCTGTATTTCAAATTACAGTTCAACCGTAAAATTAAATACAGTTCCTGACCGTTAAATAAAATATAGTCTGACCGTAAAATAAAATACGGTTAGGACTGTATGCTCACTGTAATTGGCTACAGTTTTTTTGAACAGTGTTTATCTACGAATTAACCGTCACCATCGACAAGGTTCCAGACAACATTCAGACTATTACTTTGCCTCGGGCTCCTACACTGTTTTCGTTCAAACATCAAAATTACTCACCTGCGAGACGAAGTTTTGACTGTTCCAGATAGAAAAAGATACGGTGCGTGCTAATTTACAGTCCAATCCGAACTAAATGACACATAGAGTTAATAATTTCACTAATTGTAAACTTGTGTTCCAGCGGCCAGCAAGCAGACGGCGGCGGCTCCCGCCCGGTATGAAAAACCCAGCGCTCAGCTCGGATTGTACACACGCTGTGTTTACCTTGAGGAGCGAGTCGAGTCGGTTGGCTGCTTTGTACAAATGCACAACAGGTGGTTTTGATTTGATTATCATTTCCGACCCGGTCTGAAAGGTGAGGCACGAAATGTATCGCATAACAGACCACCAAACCTTTATTTTGTATTGTGGTCCGTGAGGCTACCGTGGGTTCTCTCGACGATTGAAAGTTCTGCAAACGGTGCCCCGTTGGTTATGTTCGACAAAGAATGAGCTAAATTTAACGAGTTCTCTTCTAAATTCATTCAATTAGGTCCTTACACGAATCTAATACTGGAACTTTTGTTGGTGTGCGCCCAAATTTCACTATATTTTTTTGTTGTTGTTGTTTTACGCTTAAGCCATTGTTTTCAATCTTTTTTCTCTCTTTCAGCAACATGCCACCTCGCAGATCAAATAGGAAAAAGAAGTCAAAGGTTCCTGGAAAAGGTGAATCTACCCTTGCTTCGTGCTCAAAGGACAGCCAAGCTTTTGAGGTAATACGCAATATATATTCAATAATTTGTCAGTTTGGGTCGTTACATTTTACCTTACAGCAAGTGTGTTTTTGTACCACTTTGAGTTTTTTTTGTGTTATATACCAAGTACTTTTTAGAACTGTGAGTATAAAATTTGTTTCTCTTTAAAGGTTGCCAAGACAGCAGAAGCTTCTGTCTCGACCAAACCAACCAAACCTCTCAGAAGGTCGACAAGAAATGTTGGAAGAAAACCTGATCAATCTATAACTACTAGAGAAGTGAGTTATTTTAAATTTTGTGTTGCAAGCTAGGCCAATTACTGGCATTACAACATTACTTTTTCATTTTGTCTTACAGAATGAGTTAGAAGATACAATTTATGATGAGCTTTTAGATATTGTTGATGTTAATTTGGATGAGCAAGATGAGGACCATATCCCAGCAATTGGTGTCAGTATCGAGGCAGCTCACATTAGTGCTTTTCCTGCTGCTGCCAGTACAAACCCATCACCAACCTTGTACACTTGTGAATATTGTAACAATGTTTTAAAATCAAAGCATGGTTTTAAAAAACATGTAATGGCCCACCGTATAAAGGGTGAGTAACTTTAATTCTTATCTTGAATTTAATTTACATTTCATTTTAAATCTTAGATAGTTACTCTTGCATTTGTTTAATTTCTTACATACTCTTTTTTTTCAGAATGCAACTCTAAAAGGCCATCTGCTGCTATTCTAGAGCCATTAATGGAAAGCTTCGTAGTCAAATCACCAAATGATATTGCTTTAGAACATGGAGATGAAAAACAACACTTTGTAGCCGAAGTGTTAAAATGTTCTGAAAGTGGTGGCACTGAGTGGGCTGATTTTGTGTCGAACATCTCCCATCCTGTCTTGCAGAGTGTTTCTAAACCTACTAAAATGTTAGAACTGAATCTCCAGTTGTCTGAGAGGCATAAAGGTGTGGGGAATCCACTGGCCAGTTACATTTAGGGGTCAGATCAACCGTTCAGAACGTGTAAGGGGCTGAAAAAGTATGAAATAATGGCATATCTCACTTTACCCCCCCTCCCCCCCCTTTTAAACAGTAACGCTTCAGAAGCCCTCTTTCCGGCCGGGAAAAAAGCGGGAATAAGCTGGCAATTTTGATAGGTACCGGGACGTGGCCACCCTAACAAGGTGCCCCCACAATGAACGGGTGGCGAGGAGCCGTGAGCCATGGGCCATGGGCCACGGGCCACGGGCGGCGCACGGTCGCGCGGGGAGTTGATTTCGATCGGCTTATGTTAGGTGTCCTGACATGAAAGTGGGTGACCCCTTATATTTTTGGAAAGAGGATAGTGTGAGGATTGTTAATCTGTAAAAATATTATTGTGCCGGGGCTTCGTATTG